TGAAACCAGGGGTGTCTCTGGAGCCTACCCAGCCAGGGAGCATCTGCCACCAGCCCAGCTTTGGAGGTAAACTGCGTCAGACTCTGAGTCCATCTCTCAAGTTTCTGTTTCTCTAACAAGCTTCTCTATTTGTTGAGCCATTGTTCAACCTTCCATGAATTCTTTAAACATGCTCAACCTTATATATAATCTAGTTATAATAGTTGTGTTGAAATCTTTGTCAATAAAATCCGGCTTCTGGATCCCCATGGACACAGATTTAACTAGATCTTCCTGATTATGAGCTGCACTTTCTCATTTCTTATGTGTCTTTAACTTTCTCAGATAGTATATCGAAGCAACTTTGGATTCTTGTAGGCATCTGCCTATACTGAGTCTGAAATCTGTTTCCTATGATAAGAAGCACTGGTGTTGCTGTATAATTTGTGTTGTGTTTGCTTTTTTGTTTCCTAATTTTTTGTTTTCTGTTTGTAAACCATAGCTAGTGGTCAGCCAGTGATTGGCAGAGGTATGCTCATGCATCCCCAGCTGTGAGGGGTTCCAACTTTGCTGACTGAAGTGTGTGCTTGCAGTTGGGGTGGTCTTCACATCTGCCCGGGACTTTGCTTTCTACTGGCTCTGGTGGTCTCCATGCAGAGCATAGTTTCACAGCCAGCCCTCTTCAGGCTTCCTGTGCTTGAGCACAATCTTTCCAACAGACAGGGAGACATCGGAGCTCATTACAAATGGGTGCAGTCTCACTTCCCACACTTTCTGTTAACTTTGGACCATCTGCTGCTGGTCAGTTACTTCAACCAGACACATCCTCAGGCATGCTTCCTGCTGGCCTTCCCATTTGCCACTTGTATGGCCACGGCTAGGCCTGGGATCTTGCACTCCAAGTTAAGGGAGCCCCCTTGACTGCAGAGCTTCAGGGTTGACCCCCCACCCCGACTCCTCGCAGCACTATGGATGAGCTGGGATGGGAGTAGGGCCAACAGGGACACCATATAATTCTGTTGTTCTCACACTTCCATTCTATTGTTCCATAGTTTCTTATAAATAAATGTTTCTCAATTTGCTGTGTGGCTTTTGGTGGTTTCCAGAGCATAGGGGTGGCTGTTCATGACTACTCTGTCCAGTCTGATTCTCCATGTTAGCAGTGGTCCTGCCAAGCCCCTCGCTATGCCTTACTGGGAAAAAAAGGGGGCGTTTTAATCTTCTTCCTACTTTCTAAATAACAAGGGAACAGCAGCAAAGAAAAATGAAAAAGAACAATATTCAGGACGCATGTTCTGATGGGCACATCTGGCGTGAGCCCTTGGGAAGCTCTGCCCTGAGGTAAGCTCATTCTTTGTGGAAGAAGGCTGTCTCCACCCATCACTGCTGTAACCAACACCCCCGGGCTTCCTACAGTTCTGGAAGCCGAAGCCTGAGGTCAGGTGCCAGCAGGTTCAGGTCTGGTGAGGGCTCCGGCCTGGTTCTCAGACAGCTGACCACTCACTGTGTCCCCACATGGGGAAAGACGACTCAGCCTCTGGGTCTCCTGTAAGGGACACCATCGCAGCGGGGCTGGCATTCCAGCACAAGAATTTTGGGAGACCAACATTCAGTTCTCAGCAGAAGTGAGGTTGTCTCCCTTTTATGGAAGAGGGTGGCTGAGTGTCACTCCTGTGACGTTATTACTTTTACTTCCAGTCCAGATTGCTACTTAATAAGCCTTAAACAAATGCTCAGTACTTATTCTGTTCCTACTGAGTTTAGACACTATTTACAATGTGACATTGTTATGGTAGGATACTTTATATCGTGGAACCAAGCTAACTGGAACCAAGTACTGGATTGCAGTTTACAAACATGTATTTTTTAATCAAATTAAATTTTTTTCCTACAGCATTATTAATTAAACTTGCATGCAAAATAGCTTGCATAGCATTCCACAATCATCTTTATATCTGTGTCTGTGTATGAGTAATGCTAGAGAAGACCTCATAATTATTCAGCACAGAGCACTCATGTTATTCATATAAAGTCAGGTGGGTTGGGGATTTGGGGGCAATTTTTTAGTTAATGGCCAAAGATCAAATTTATTAGTAATGAAATTGGCACAGAACCTTAAGTCATTTGATGTCCAAAAAATTGATAACACGGGGATACCACTTACCCAGGATCTCTTGCTTTATTTATGTGAATAAGTGCTGTTCTCTTGGAGGTGAACCAGGCGACAACGTACCTTTGTATTTGTTTCAAACGACTTAAGTGGGACTCTCCATATAGTCATTACTGTTTAAACATGGGAATTCTGTGCCTCTGGAGTAAGTGACAAAGCGCAGGGTCCATGCAGAGCAGCTCATCAGATGTTTTCCCTGGCTGGGCCTTAGATTTCAGGCTCGGATGGAAGTGTGCTCCAGCAGCAGAGTGAGGGTTTACACTGTGAGCCTTTCAGGGACGGTGTCGTTGTTGGAATGCTTTCAATGCTCTCCATCCCAGGTGATTTATTTCATAGAATTGTGAGTGTTTTAAAGCAAAAAGAACCATGTCTGGCTCATTCCCTGAGACTGAGAGTTTCAGGCTTCAGTCTGCGATCCTACCTTGTGCCGGGATCACCATCCACCATGCTTCCCGGGTGGATGCAGGGAATAGCCCAGACATGCTTCACTCTGACCAGGCGGGTAGCAGGGTGAGGCCCCTGAAGGACGGCGGCTCTAGTACCCCGCTGGGGCAGGGCCATCTTCGGCATCCTCTCTGTCAGCGTCTATTTGACCATTGGCTCACCTGCAACATGTGTGCAGAACCTGAGTTAGCAGGTCTGGGTGGGCTGGAGTTCTGGAGCTCTAACTCCTGTTGATGTTCTGCCCCGGAAGCTCCCCCAGACCTGCTGAATCCGAATCTCCAGACACTGGAAGCTGTCAACAGCCTTTCCCAGGGATGCACAGTGCCAAGAGATTCTCATTTTCTCCAGCGAGAGTGATGAGAACAGTAAGCCAGCAGCCTTGCCAAGGGAGGAGGCCGCTCAGCCTTCCCAGCTGCCAGCACAGGGAACATGTTAGGAACGTGTTAGGATCGTCGGGAAGCATGGGCCTTCGGGTGAACACTCAGTGTGGAGGCTCCAGGGCCACGGGGGCGCTTCTGACCCTTAGGAGGCCAGATGGGGCTGCAGGGACTCTTCACCCAACGTGCTGACACTGTTCCCAGGATAAGAGCTGTAGCAGTTACATCAGAAGGCAGGTCAATTGTGGTTCTCTTTCTAAAATGCAAGTTTAAATTTCTACCGAAAGGGGCTCCTGGGTGGCTCAGTCATTAAGCATCTGCCTTCAGCTCAGGGCATGATCCCGGAGTCCTGGGATCAAGCCCCGCATCGGGCTCCCTGCTCAGCGGGAAGCCTGCTTCTCCCTCTCCCACTCCCCCTGCTTGTGTTCCCTCTCTCGCTATGTCTCTGTCAAATAAACAAAATCTTAAAAAAATAAAAAATAAGTAAATTTCCACCTAGAAAAGTACTAGACATTTGTTTTGTTTTTTTTTAAATAGTGGGATCTGGAGTGTTCTTTGCTGGCTGAGCTGGAGGCCTGTGTGAAGGGTCCAAATGTGCAGGCAACTGAGTCTGATGAGAGGCCCCATTCAAGTCTGGACTCTCGTTAGGATGACCGCAGTGACCACAAGTCTGGACTCTCGTTAGAATGACTGTAGTGGCCACAAGAGTAGCATTCCTATTTGAAATTTTAATGTTAAATTAATGTTATTTTAATGGAGCTTTTATACAATAATTTTATAATTGAATTACATTGTGCATTATTAAACAAAACCTAAGTAGGAAGTTGAAGGCCTCCCCTTGGAACGATTCCAATGGTTGGTAAAAACCTCAAAACTGATAATAACAATGAGGCATTCCCATAAAATGTATTTTCCTGTTTTTTGATGAACACGAGCACAATTTAAATCTTCATTTTCTTCACTAAGCTATTTTTCTTATGTAGCTAAAAGTGAATTATTTAGACTGTTATTGATATGGTTACTTTGTAAAATGGAAAGTGAGTTGCAACAGTGTGCCTTGGTTCACACATGCCCACATTGATGAGGGTCACTGAGCAATCTTGACCATGAGCACCCACCCTCGACACACACGTGTGACACAGGTATGTGTGTGCACTCACACACGTGCACAGGCACACCACAGGCACATGTTCACACATGCACGCGCAGACACACCCACACCGACACACACGTTCTCACCAGGCTTTTGTCTGTACCAGGGGCACCCACTGAGCCCTCGGGGGGCCGCGTGCAGACAGAGCCTCCCTCCCAGAGGTTTGCTGTTTATAGATGGTGTCCCCAGACGTGTGCCCCGACAGGCCTGCAGGGTCCCTGAGTCCCTTTGTCTTAGTCCCACAGATGCTTTCTGTCTGTGGTGCAGGCGGAAAAACTGAGCACGAGGGCCCTGTCTTGTCCCCACACCCACAGAGCAGGGCCAGGGCCCTGGGAGGCCGGAGCAGCAAGAGGGGAATGAGACTGTGCCAGCGCCGTGCAGGGACGTGGCACATCCCCTCACCCCCCAACCCGGCCCCTGAGCCCTCTGAGGCCTCCGCATGTCCCCTTGCCCCCCCAACCCAGCCCCTGAGTCCCGTGAGGATGCAGCACAACCGCTCGCCCCCCAACCCGGCCCCTTGGTGCAAAATCACAGGGTTTGAGGAAGAGCGTCTCTGAGGACTACTGAGGTCGTGTGTAGAGTCCGCACTTCACGTGTTTCCCTCGGCGTGTGTTCAGAGCCCGCCTCCCACCTGAGTCCGGTGCCATGTGCACGGGGCGAGTGCCACACAGGCCAAGACAGGTGTGTCCTCCTCAGGGGCTACAAGCCCCCCACCCCTGATGGGCAGCGTGCAGAAGGTTCCAGATCCCCAACCTCCTGCTGGGGTGTTGGTTTGTCTGGGGGTGGAGAGAAGGTGGGTCGGGAAAGAGGAGAGAAGAGAAGTTATCCTAGGAGCGAGGGGACCCCACACACGCACTGAGCTCGCGCTCTCTTGCAGGGCTTTCCAGGGAACACCAACGCAGACAGCGTGGTGCGGCACCAGCTGCAGCCGCCCGTGGAGGCCAGATACCTGCGCTTCCTCCCCTCCGCCTGGAACCCCGACGGCCGCATCGGGATGCGGGTGGAGGTGTACGGATGCCCATTCCGTAAGTGCAGGCACAGCACGGGGCCCCGTCTGGGGACGTGGGGTCCTCGGCACAAATTCAGAGACTGCTGGAGGCTTTTCTCAAATCCCTTAACAAGGACAATGGATTCTCCTTCCTGTTAAAACCCAAGATGAAGCCGTCAGGTTGTCTTACAGGGTCTTCTTACTGAGTGCTCCTCTCCCTTCCCTGTCTCTGCCTCTCTGTCTCTGTCTCTGTCCCTCTGTCTCTGTCTCTGTCTCTGTCCCTCTGTCTCTCTGTCTCCCTGTATGTCTCTGTCCCTCTGTCTCTGCCTCTATGTCTCTCTGTCCCTCTGTGTCTCTGTCCCTCTCTGTCTCTCTGTCTCTGTCCCTCTGTCTGTCTCTGGACACGCAGTGATGTCACCAGCCCAAGGCTCCGGGGGTGGGGGGGAGGGGCCTCCCTGTCAGCGACATTGAACAGGGGCCACCCGCCCTCTTGCCAGGACTTGCTCCATAGGAGGGTTTGCCGTGGAAACTGGGTCTGCTGTCTGTGTCAGGAGGAGACACTCAGGATGGCCCAAAGGAGACCTTTGGGGTGGGCGTCAGCCTGCTGGCTCCAGGAGGGGGTGCGGCCGGGGGTGTCAGGGAAGCGCCAGGGCCACCAGAGTGGGTGGACCGAGGGGCCTCCTGTGCCGAGTCTTCATCCCAGCATTCCTCCCGCTCGGTCCTCACACTGTGGATTCGCAGACCACGAGGGGCTCCCTCAGTCAAGGACCTTGACACTGGCTGTATCCTGGGCCTTGTACCTCTTCCCCTTGGGGGTGGACCCTCCCTCCCAGAGGTGCGGCCACGGCCCTTCCAGTGGGACCAGCAGCAGCCCTGAAGTCCACGCAGCCCTGCTGCTGGGAGGGTCTGCGTAAAAACGCAGCAGATAACCTGTCACCGCCACTTGGAAAACAGCCGGGTGCCTGCTCTGACTCAGGCGGGACACACTGTTCCCGGCACGAGCGGCGCACACGTGCCGCTGTGGTGTTGGGAAGCGCAGGCCCCTCAGCACGCTGTTCCGACACGCGGGCGGTGCCCCTCGGCCCCCCTGCCCACGCGTCCACCTGTTCACTCGCAGCGGCTCCGCCTGCAGATCGCAGAGGAATCCCACCCGTGCCCGCCGCGCGTGCCTCCGCGGCCACCACGTGCCGCGCTCCTGGATGGGCTGTGGTTGCTCTCGCACACCCGGCTTCCACACCCACACCTTTGCAGTCGGGGCGCGTGGGCCGTGGGCACAGCCCGGCTTGTCCGGTCTCCGTGGCACCCGAGCTGCTCCCTGCCCTGACGCACAGCCCTTTCTCTGCTCGCGGTTGGAAGCAGCACACAGGCGGCCGCTGAGACCATGAGCTAGGACGCTGGGGCTCCGCCTGGGGACAGTGAGGGGGCAGTGCGGGGAAAATCACTGGGAGGACCGCGGGGTCGGGGCTTTCTCTCCATGCACTCGGCAGATCCTTGCTGCAACTGGACCCGGCGGCCGAGGGCAGGCGGAGGATGGCCTTGTGGGCTGCACACTGGTCGGGAGGGGTCTTTCCCATGGGTTCCCAGGGCACAGCGTGGCCACCTCAAGGCTCCCTCCAAGGCGCATCGACATCCACGCGGACCTCCTCACTGCCTTCCGGGCCACGCTCCGGGACCCCTCATCTGCCTGAAACTGGAGCCATCCCTCCAACCATCTCCAAGTGCTGTATGCTAGCCTGAGTTCTGTCTCTAGCAGGTGGATGCCCAGGTACCACCTCCGGGTGACCCAGGGCCGCCACATGCCCAGTCAGTGCCAGCCCCACATCCCCTCTTTCCCAGTGCACTCTGAATCCTCTCATCCTTGGTTCTGACCCTGGTTCGGCCCGCCGCCAGGGTCCACCTAGATGGCCACAGCCGTCCTGAGGGCCTCTTGACGGGCACCATGTGGCTTTGGATACAGAGGAAGGAGCCTGCCCATGTCAAACCCAACAGACTCATCAACACACTGTCCGTGGTGCAGAGGGGCCCCAGGGATGCTCTTCTCTGCAGCCAGGTAGGGTCTGACCCCTCCTGCCCTTCCTCTGACCTGCCTCTCTGTCTGAGCCCCGCCCACCCCAGGCAGCTTCAGAGGAAGTGGTTACTCCCCAGGCAGCCATCATCACTCTATTTTGGCTCTCTGAATGCACCAGGGTGTCTGCAGCCACCACAGGACCTTTGCACAGACCATCCCCATGCCTGCAACCCTCAGCCTTCATTCTTTCTTTGAGAACACATACTTTTCGAGATATAACATACATGTGGGAAAGTACACGAATCTAAGTGCACAGTTCTAAGTCTTACAAGAGCCCCCTCATTCCCCTTCCTCCCCAGCACTCACCCTTCACCCTAATGCTACACTATACCATGGGCTAGCATCACTTTTTTCTAGCTTTCTGCACAGAACACTTCTGGATGTGTCGCTGGTGCCTGGCCTCCTTTGCCCACCCTCCACCGCCATGCCCCGGAGTCTGGATCAGCTGCCATGCCTCCACCTCCATAACTTCCCTGCACACCCTGGCCAGGCTAGTGTCATGCTGACCTGCTCCCATGGCAACCGCTCTGTCCCCATGGCAACCGCACCATCCTAGTGCCTGTGGTAACTGTTCATTAGTCTGTCAGTGGGATATATGGATAAAAAGCAAATGCACTGTCAGGCATGCAGCAAGCGGGCCACGAGGCCCCCAGGAAAGGGTCTGCTCCTCATGCACAGAGTCTGAGACCAGCTATGAGTCTGGCGTTCAGCATAGAGCAAACACCAAGGCTTCCAGGGGGTTAGCGTTGTCTGGTTAAAGGCATATTGCTTGAGGGGGAAGGTGGGCGAGCCCATGCCATGCCCCTGAGTCAGTAATTAATCACAGCTGGGAGATCCTCTGAAAGTGAAGGTCCTTCGTGATGAGCCACAGACAGACCTGCTGGCCAGCATGGCATCTGCTGTGAGCCGGCTCCCACTGAGGATGCGTTAAGAGGAAATCAAACAGTGCGGGAGGGAGAAATACCACCTCGACGAGAACACAGGAAAGCTGATGATGTCCTTACGTCACACAAAGGCTTCTGCATCAGATGTGGATGCAAGCTGCCAAACGAAGCCAGGTCACCACCACACGCATACTGTGCTTTCTATTGGCAGCCTGGTCGAGCCCGGGCATTACTACCATCGCTGGGAACAGCGGGAGCAAGCCGACTCCATGCAGAGGAATCTGGAAGTGGATGTGTGGGCCCTTTCCGGTTGACCACAGGCATCGTGATCCTTGTAGAGGATGGGATTAGTGCTCTGGCCACCCCAGAGCTGCCAGCGGACACTCTGGCCAGGAGACTTGGGGTCATTCTCAACCATGTTACCCTACAGGAACCCTGGAAAGGGTTTTCTGGTTTCGGGACCCTCCATGAAAATAATTACATCCAAACACCATATGAGTTCCCTGGTGTGCTTGCCTAAGTGTGTGCACGTGCTAGTGTGTGCCTGTGTTTGTGTACATGTGTGCTCACATGGTCCTGTGCATGTGCACACTCATGTGTGCCTGTGTTTGTGAACACACGTGCTCATATGTTCCTGTGTTTGTGTATACTCGTGTGCACCTGTGTGCACATATATACTAAAATGTTCCTTGCATGTGCACACTCGTGTGCCTGGGTTCATGTACACGTGTGCTCACATGTTCCTGTGTTTGTGTATACTCGTGTGCACCTGTGTGCACATATGTGCTCACATGCTCCTGTGCGTGTGCACACTCGTGTGTGCCTGTGTTCACGTACACATGTGCTCACATGTTCCTGTGCATGTGCACACTCGTGTGTGCCTGTGTTTGTACACATGTGTGCTCACATGTTTCCTTCTTTGATTTTCTGTTACAGTAGAGCTTCTGTGCCGGAAAGCTCCTTGTCTGCTGCAGCATGGCCACCCAGAAAGGACATGGAGGGCGGGCACTGGGACTGGCCATGTCTGCTATAAGTAGCCACCCCAGCCAGCAGCATCCAAGACAGAGGGGGCAAGAGGGGGTCTGTGGGCGCTGGGTCATGGGTAGGGGTCTTTGGATGGGGTCTGCAGGTGCTGGGTCACAGGCCCTGGGTCATGGACGGGGGTCCATGGGTAGAGTCTGCAGGTGCTGGGTCACAGGCCCTGGGTCACGGGTGGGCGTCTGTGGGCTCCTGAGCAAGGCTGGCAGAGAAGTCTGTGCCCTCACCCAAGGACAGGGAAGACACACAAAGTACTGTTGGGATGTGGGTGTGAGCAGGCAGTCCCTGAAACAGTCGGGGCCATGCACTTGCAGGCCCCTTACTCTGGGCTTTCATCCATGTTTCTCCTCATTCAAAAGAAATAATTGAGCAGATAACCCACCTTTTAAACAGAATGAAATATTTATTCATTGTGCACCTGGTAAATAAATTATTTCTAGGTACATTAACAAGAGGTAAGAAAACAAAACATGAATTTTAAAAAAGATAGCTTCATAAGATGGGCAAAAGTCATTTTAATGGCTTATTTTGCATATGATGCACCCTTTAAATGACACGCACATCCCCGTGCAGCGACCCCAAACAATAGGCTTTGAGCTGTGGGGTTTACTTACACGTAGATGCTTTTCAATAAATACAGTAAAGCTCTGTTAGGGGTATGATTTCTTCCTTATGATTTTCTTGATGACATCTTCTTTTCTGGAGCTTACGGTATTATAGGGATTCAGTAAATGACACATATAACATACAAGATGCGTGTTAATTGACTTTATGTTACCGTTTAGGCTTCTGGTTGACAGCTATCAGTAGTTAAGTTTGGGGGGGTGGTTAAAGGTTATATACAGACTTTTGGCTCTGTGGGCATCAGCGCCCCCAACCCCCATGTTCTTCAAGAGTCGCTATATTCTTGGTTTTGCCAGAAATAAGGTCAGTGAAGGAATAATTCTATTGTGCTGTCCTGGAGGAAATTGGCCATCAGTTCAATGTGCATGCCAGCCACCATTCTGCACCGAGCAGCGGGGGCAGGCTGGGTCTGGACATGTGGGGGCTGGGGCCCGAGGGTGGGGGCAAGGTCAAGCCTTCATGCTCTGGCTCCCCCAGCGGCCACTGCTGCTCTGGAGGGGCACCTCCCGGCTTCTCCCTTGTCCCGTGAGCACACCCTCTGCACAGCACCTCTTCCGAGGGGCTGGAGTCCTCACTGTGAGGGTTTTTACAGGATAACTGCTCTCCCCATCTGTAAATGGGCAGCCTGAGCAAGACCCAGCCCTCTGGTGACCTGGCCACTGTTCCTCCATGTGTGTGGAACACAAACACGTTTTCTACAGAGGACATGAGCACGCGTGCCAGGCAGGGCAGGCACACGCTGTGGGAGCCCCGGCGCACTGGGACATCCCTCCTGGCATTTGGGCCTGGCAGCCGCAGGCTGCTGAGAAGAGCCGCGGGCAGCCGGCCTGGGGGAGAAGGAGCAGTTCATTCTCTCCAGCCCCCTTACTGTCTGCCTTGCTGCCCTTGGTGACCCCGAGGTGAGCCGGGGCATCTCTGACACAGTCACCACAGGTGGGGACAATTCTGCAAAGGGATCAAAAGTCAGGAGAGCAGACCCACTATCCTGGGAGGCTCTAGTTCCCATGGGTGGATGCAACATGGAAGTCTCCGAGGGCCCTGAATATACAGCAGCGTTCAGAGAGGTTCCATGGGGTCGACACTGGCCATCGTGCCAACAGACAGTAGCCATCCAAACAGGATGCTATTACAGGTGAAAAATCCCAGGTGTCTCAACACCTGCTGGGAGAAATGTTGTGTCACCTGATGAGTAGGATGGACACTTACTAGTTACATGTGTGTGCACCTGTGTGTGCATGTGCACCTTTGTGTGTGCCTGTGCATGTGTACCCGTGTATATGGACCTTTGTGTGTGTGCATGCACCTGTGTGTGCACCTGTGTGTGCACCTGTGTGCGTGCGTGCACCTGTGTGTGCAAACATGTGTGTGTGCGTGTGCACCTGTGTGTACCTGTGTATATGGACCTTTGTGTGTGTGCATACACCTGTGTGTGCACCTGTGTGTGCAAACATGTGTGTGTACGTGTGCACCTGTGTGTGCCTGTGTATATGTACTTTTGTGTGTGTGCGTGCACCTGTGTGTGCACATGTGTGTGTAAACATGTGTGTGTGTGCACCTGTGTGTGTCTGTGCATGTATACCTGTGTATATGTACCTTTGTGTGTGTGCGTGCACCCGTGTGTGCACACGTGTGTGTGTGCGTGTGCACCTGTGTGTGTCTATGTACTTTTGTGTGTGTCTGTGCATGTGCACCTATGCATATGTATTTATGTGTGTGGTCATGCACCTGTGTGTGTGTTCAAGGCCCCACACATTTAAAAACATTAATGAGAAACAAGCTAATTCTTAGGACAACTTTTATCATCTTTCCTGCAGGATCAGAGGTGATTGACTTTGATGGAAAAAGTTCCCTACTTTACAGATTTGTTCAAAGTACCAGGAGTCCAGTGAAAGACATCATTTCTTTGAAATTTAAAACCATGCAGAGTTATGGGCTTCTATTCCACAGACGGGGCAGAAATGGAGATTGCATCACCCTGGAATTAGTGAAAGGGAGGCTCCTTCTGTTCTTCAATTCAGGTAAAGTGATCAGCCAGGGAACTCAATAATCTGAATTCTTAGATGTAATTTGTACTCCAGCATTTTTATACCTAATCTTTTAGCAGGCATAGATAAGGGCCTAGACTTACAGATTCTGACTCTCTTTTGCTTAAAAACATATTAAAGTGTAGTAACTGTGCTGGGAGGCGGTCACTGGAGCTCTTCGTATCCGGCAAACTCTCCTACGTCACCGGATCCAGGGCTTCCCAACCCCACTTTGCACCAGTGACATTTTGGACCAGATGACTCTTCGTGGGGGGATGCCCTGTGCATTGGAGGATGTTTACCAACATCCCTGCCCTCGACCCACCAGAGGCCAGTAGCACAACTCACACCCACATCCTGACCAGTGTCCCCTGGGGGACAAAGGTGCCTCACAGAGAGCCACTGCCCTGTCCCCATAGCAGAGTTCTTGGCAAAGACGGTGCTTCCAAAGGAAGCAAGCCTACAGAGGTCCCAGTAATGGAGGGAAGTGGCCGAGAACAGCCCTGATGGACAGGGTGTCCCAGGGTCAGATGCAGCAGCTTCACAGGGTTGAGGAAGCTTGGTCTGGCAAGACCTAACTGCCCGTTTCCCCGGCCAGGCACCACCGCACCCTCCCCGTCCAGCCCCGGGGTTGTGGCGCTGGGCAGTCTGCTGGACGACCAGCACTGGCACTCAGTGCTCTTTGAGCATGCCCACCAGCATGTGACCCTCTCAGTGGACCAGCACTCGAGGCAGTTCCAGGCACGGGCACAGCTGAGTCACTTGGACCTGGATCCTGAGGTGCGGAGTCTCCCGTCAGTCATGACAGGGTGTGGGGTTTAAATGCAGCCTAGCCTGGACAGAAGGAGGAATCCTTCAGAGAAGCGCCCTTTCCTGGCACATGTGGTCTGGGCTTAACTGTGTCCTAAAGGGAGCCATGTCCTGGGCACTCTCTGCAGCCTGACTCAGAGCGCGGTCAGCTATGCTCAGTGTGGCCGACAGCAAATGTCAAGTCCCGCTGAGCTGACCTGAGGAATCCGGCTGGCGTCCCAGTGAGATCCCAAGCTAGTGGCTGGTTCCAATGCCCTGTCTCATCCTTCAGCTTTGAAACACTTCTAACATATTTGCAGCCCTTTGCACACATGTCCCTAAATTATGCAAAGATATAACATTTTATGCCATTTTTGTAAGACATTGTCAGGTTCACAAACTATTAAAAGAAGCTAAACACTGAAACTAAAACAGAAATGTGTTTGGCAGAAATGGACGATGGGCAGTTCTTGTCTTATTTTTCATGATTTTATTGCCTAAACTCTATGAATTGGCAAAAATAACATCATATTTTATACACAGATGAATGTAAATTCCATCCAGAGATGTGTAAGCTAGAAAATCATTTTTATTTTCTACACAGACTTCCTTTTGCACGGGTTTGGGGTTACACGGATCAGCTCTCCCTCACAAAGTGCACATCTGGACACAGAGATGTGATGCTCCCCTCACCTGACACACACCACAGCCGACTTGACGAGCACCCCAAGGAGGCCAGTTCATCTAACACATTGCAGATGGGATGGCTGTCTTGGTGGGCTCCCCGGGACACCAGGCTGTGCCCTTGGGAAGAGCTGTAAGGGAAGGTAGCAGCAGGTCAGGGAGGGGTTCCTGCAGGGACCCTGGAGGGCAAGCTGCTCCCCCAGCTGCCCGCCTGCACCTGCCAGCATTGGAGAAGGCCCATCCCAGGAGCAAGACTTCCCCAGCACTCGAAGGTGCAGAGCTGGTGGTGAGTAGAGGGCCTGACGCTCTGCTCTGGGCCCTGTATCCAGGCCTGCACCTGCTGTTCCATCATGAATATCAGTAACCCCTTTCCTCCCCAGGGTCCAAGTGAGCTGCCAAATCACACATTTCCCTAATTACAGATGAAGGATCTCTAGCGTGGCAGACATCAGCAGCGTGTAAACCATGTCAGAGTCTCTGCTTAGAATTTCACTTAAAATAGTGAACAAAACACGCAATTATGCAGAATTGCGTACCCGGTCCCCTTCCTGCTACACCTCTGAGTCCTGAATGTTTTAAGCAAGTTAGTGGGAAATGACTAAAGAATATTATTGATGTCATTTTTCTTTCTAAGATCAGCTTTGGAGGGATTTTAGCACCTGGAAAATCTGTGACATTGCAAAGAAAACACTTTGACGGATGTTTAGAAAATATTAATTTTAATGGAGAGGATATCATTGATTTGGCCAAGAAGCACAGACCACAGATTCTCATCAGGGTAAGAATCTGCCTTGGAAGAGAGGGGTGGGGGGCCTCGGAGGAAAGAAGGCCCTCATGTGCCCCCTGAGTGACGTCAGGTTAGGGTGATGTTACTCATGTCACAGCCTCCTCACCTGAGTGAGAAACACAGACCAAGCGCACATAACTAACTTACAGTAATTGCTTAAATATGAGACAAAGAAACATGTCTTCCATTAAAATGTAAGATACAGTCTCAGCTTATGCTTTCCAGAGTGCAGAGGTAGCTGCTTGCAGGGACCAGTCCCCTTAGCAATGGGGTTTCCTCCGTGAGCTGGCGGGAGCGCAGGCCACCCCACAGGGAACCCGGCCACCTATACCTCACGTGTAAATACAGCATTTGCCGTGGGAGTTTGGACACACACATGCATCAGTAAGCTACCATGTTTTCCATGGCCCTTGGGACATGATAAGGTGGTTCCATGTGGGGTCTTCACATCAGAGGCTAAGCCCTGACCTGTCTCCCAGTAGCTGGGTCACGGGAACAAATGTTCAAGCTCTGGATCCTCATCTCCTGCCTTTGGTCAAAATGCCCGTCTGTGAGCTCTGTCAGCCCGAGCACACTCCCAGAGGGTGAATTTTGTTGCAACAGCCTGCGCGGGCTCTGGGCTTTGTCCTGGCTTCACCCAGAGGTGCACAAAGCAAGGCTGAGGCCGCCTGCACTGGGGTGAGCTGCTGGTGCGGTCTGTGTCTCTCAGGGCTGGGGAGTTGGGTGGGCAGGAGGCCACGCCCTGAGATCCCGGCCGGGGGGACGCAGGTCTGGGGGCCGTGGTGGGGGATCGGAGTGAGGAGCAGCCCCCCACCTCCAGGGCCTCCTCAGATCTGCTTTCTGTCCTCAGGGCAGCGCCTCCTTCTCCTGCTCCCAGCCGCAGCCCGTGCCGGTCACGTTTCCGAGTGCTGGGAGCCACTTGGTGCTGCCGGGCACCCCGGCACAGGACGGGGTCTCCATCAGCTTCCAGTTCCGGACGTGGAACCAGGCAGGGCTCCTGCTGTCCAGCTGGCCGCCTCATGGCTCCACGGGCTTTCTTCTCACGCTCAGAGACGGAGCCCTCAGACTGGGGCTGTCCCCACCTCCAGGACAAGCGAGGAGTGACGTCACTGCAGGTAACACGCGTCCCCAAGCTGCAGCCCACAGGCACTTCACACTCATTTAAACATAATTCCTGGAGTCTGTAAGACACTCGGGGTCCCCACATCCAGGTACTTGTGCCCCATTTCCCTTGGACATGGGCTCCCCGCTGTTTATACCCATGTGGCACCACTGTTGGCACCCAAAGTGGCCATCCCAGGTGACGCCGGCAGCCCAGTCCAGCCACCTGGGGAGGAGGTAGTGCCTGAGAGCCCCCCACTCATTCCCGGGGACCCCGCCCTGTCCCTGCCCTGTCGAGCTGACCAGACACCATCTCAAGTCCCAGCGGCATCTCCCCGTGTGTTTTCTCTTTGGGGAAACATGGCAGCAGGGAGTCCATTCTTGGCCTTTGGCGATGGTGGTGAGGGAGCTGCCTCATGCTGTGCCCTCCAACCTCGCCAAACCCAGATGTGCATCTGGAAATGTGGTGGGCCTCCGGAGGGTGGCACGGTCGGAGGAAACACTGTGTCCTGGGGACACAGCCTCCCTCTCTGCTGACCCGCTCCTGCCCCAAGCCAGGAGCAATTCTGATTGGACACAAGGCTTTTGAGATAAGTGCTAGCATTCTAAAGCAATGTTCTTTATGGTAAGTGATGGCGGATCGTTCTTGGACTGAGGACAGGAGAGAGGTGGGGCCTGTCTGCTCACTGCCACCCACTGGGAAGTCGGCCACTTCTGGGTTTGTGGGCTGGCATCAGATCTGAGAGCCTCAGGTGGAGGTGGACACAGAACGGGGACAGAACCACAGCCAGGCTGTTGGGACCACTGGGGTCTGCACACCTTCTCAGGAAGATCCAACTGGCCTGCGATGAACCACGTTTCCTCAGGACTTAGAGCGCTGGCTGCCAGGCACTCACCACGGAGCTTGAGCACCACTGAACCATTTGCATGGTCAGAAGTGAGGCCACGAAAGGGTTCCTGATGCAGCTGGTGCAGGAGATCCCCATGGGTGCCGCCCTGCAGGGCTACATCCATGTCCGCAAGCATACTCCTGGGACGACCGGGAGCCGTTGACCTTCACCTAATCACTGACCCTTATGCTTACGGGGCAGGAAGCAGACTGAGCCCATTCCGTCCACCCTAGAACGTACCCCAAGAGCAGTGCAACATGACAAACAGCAGAGAGACACCAGGAAGAAGAGGCACACACTTCAACACACAACTGTGACCCGCGTCTCTGAGAGGGTTGAAGCTCCAAGACTGGCATTCCCCCCAATTATCCAGAGAAGGACTGCCCTTTACAGCTTATTGAATGCTAGTAATGGGGTAAGTTTATAGGAGTAGGTTCACAAGAAAGAAATCAATCACATTCAGTATCTCGGCCATGAGCTGGCTCAGAGATTCGTTGGCATCAGAAAAAAACGTTAATTTATGGAAGTGCACCAGGGTCCTGTAGTGCATTGTGATGCATTCGATGTGCTCTGAGGAAGCTTTAGTCATGGCCTAATTTAAGGGTCTCAAAGAACTTGCTTCAAGGCAAGTCTACTTTAACACGTCCCACAAAGCAGGTAATGTTTAACCAGTCAACTGGTGTGTTTGACAAAGGGCTAGAAGTAAGATTGCATGTGATACAATCATGTTTCCATCCAGCCCCTGGGGGTGCCCTGATGCTGGCCTCCGCCTCCTGGGGCTCCATGTCCCTGCAGGAATAGCCCCCTCCCGTTGGCCAGCCGGCCCAGGGCTTGGCTCCCAGGGATCAGGATGTGGGACAGTGAGGAGCTTCGCTTCTGTGACCAGGACACAGCTTCTGCCCCCAAAGGTCCCCTCGTGCCCACGGAGGGCAGACGCTACTGGCCGTGAGTGCCCCCGGAGAGGCCACAGTGCCAGAGACTGCATGGGCTGGTCGCCCACATCCACCAAGGAGCAGAGACCCTCAGCCAGCAGCCCTCGGGGACGACCCTGAGACAATCCTAGAGAGCAGGGCTCCAGTCCTGCCCTGCTGAGCTTTCAGAGCAGACCCCACCCTGAGCCAGCACCTGCCGGACCACTAGGAAACCAGACCACAGCCAGAGGCCCCAGCCACGCCCAGACTCCCCGCCAGGAAACTGCCAAACCCAGGGCAACGCGTTATGTCCTGATAAATAACCAGCACAAATCAAAACACTGAATACGGTTACATTCGCAACTACCGTGAAACAGACTGTGAATGTGAGCCCAGAACACACCGCTGAGGTGGGACCAAGTCCCCCTGCCCCCTTCATGCGGCAGCCGACCCCGGCCCATTCTCGCACTTACCCCCAGGCCTGCGTGCAGCCCCACGAGCAGCATGGGACAACCAGGCACAGCTGTGAGGGTCCGGTATAGTAGTCTTTAGTAAGAAGAACGTATTTGTTTAGAGTTACAATAAATCAAAGTTTTTGGTTAAGTAAGGGTGGCTTTTTCCCTTGGTTACCAGACATTTAAGTTGGTCCGATGTGCATTAAGATCCTTACCTGGAATCAAAGTGAAATTGTGCTGAATTGGGTCACAATTTGAAAATGTGTTTGAATATAAGGTAATGTTTTCAGCATGCTTTCCAACTTTGTAAATTTTCATTTTAAAATGTTTACAAATATTACTTCAACCAGTTAGAGGTCAAAAAGAATTCTGCAGGCCACAAAACATTTTCTCACTCTGTCCTCCTTTGAATGTCAAATGTGCGGGACACCCACAGGACTGGGTGCTAAAACATTTAACTAAGTGCCTTTTCTAGCTGGCTCTGTGTTTACTCTCTGGATTGAACCCTGGCCAACCCAAAAGGACTTTCCTTTTCCATTAAAAAAAAAAAAATCAGTGGGGAAAAAAAATCAAAGAAACAAAACCAGGAGATTTAACAGCAAAATCCAGATGCCTGACTTCCAATAATAACCTGGAAATCTGGTAACCCCAAGAAGCCAATGCCCCTGTACCCCCGTACCAACTCAGCCAGGCCTAGGGACAGGGGGTCTCTTGGCTGATGGGGAGAATCAGGCCCATGACCCCGTCCATGCCACCCAGGGCCTCAGCAGACACAGGCCCATGATGTTTGAAATGCCCCGTGTGACCTGGGAAGACCCACCACCCCCCAGAACAAGTCCCTCAGCCCCTCCTCCACCCAGGGCCGCTCTCACGGGAGCCCCCTAAACTTGCCGGGTGGGGTGGTCAGGGTCACAGCCTCCCATGCAGCACTCCATGTGACAAGAGCAGCCTGGAGACCTACAGGTCTGTAACCCAGGGTGTTTCCAGCACCGTACCAGAAGGTATTTTCAGACAGACCTCATGGTAAGCAGGCTGGAACTACGTACATCCCCTCCTATGGCTTGGCCACGGGTGGGTTGGCTGTTACGGTGGGTCCCTGCAGAGATTTTGATCCTCACCTGGAAGGTGTGAAGTGGCAGGAAACAACATCAAACTTCCTTGTACCTGTGCCATAATTTAGACAACAGCCACACTTCCATATGACCCCTAAAAGGTATATCACATGGAGGGGGCAGGAAGGCTGCAGTGGGCCCTATAGGAACAGGGTTCCTCCACCCCCCACCCCGGGTCCCTGTTCCTGTGGGACTTGGGCTTATGTCACCGTTGGAAGCATCATGAGGTCTGTGCTTCACAGGGGTCTCTAGCTGATCTCCATTCCCCAGGTGCTGGACTGAATGATGGGTCTGTGCTTCACAGGGGTCTCTAGCTGATCTCCATTCCCCAGGTGCTGGACTGAATGATGGGTCTGTGCTTCACAGGGGTCTCTAGCTGATCTCCATTCCCCAGGTGCTGGACTGAATGATGGGCAGTGGTTCACAGGGGTCTGTAGCTGATTTTGATTCCCCAGGTGCTGGACTGAATGATGGGCAGTGGCATTCGGTCTCCCTGACAGCCCAGAGGAACCAGCTAAGTGTGGTGGTGGACCAGGCCGGGGCCTCAGTGGTTCACGCAGAGCTGCCTCTGGAGACCCACACAGGCAGTGCCTATCACTTTGGAGGTGAGTGTTGAGGTTGGGACCCCATGGGACCCACCTGGCTGGTATCCACCCAAACTCCACCTCTCCTGCCCCTGGTCTGTGGCTGACATGACTTTTTTCTACTGATCATGTGTGGCCGATTCCCCAAAAGCTCAGCAGATATGAAGTACTTTTTTCTCGGCAGTTGTATTGAGGCATAATTTATGTTAACCCGTGAGAGTCCCCTTGTCATTAGGATGCCCTTTTCCAGTTGTATTTGTTAGAGCTTTAGTGCTTGATTCCCCCCTTTCCAGGGAGACTCCCCAGTTTCCTTTCCCCACTGTCCTTCTGGGGCCAGGTGCTGCTTGGGTCACTGGTGAGGCTTCTCTGAAAGGCTGGCTCCCAAGGGTAAGCGTCAGTGAGGCTGGTCCTTCTGGCCCCAGGCAGCTCCCAGCCAGCCACTATGAGGACAATGGCACCCTCTGCCACGTTAGAATTCTACCAGTCTGTTCACTGTCCACTTCTCCCTCAGGCCAAACCTGCTTTGTGGGGTGGCCCCTGGCACAGTGCTCCAAATTGCCCCATTAGGCCCGCTAGAGGACACTGGATGCCCAGTCCCCTCTGCGTAGTGGACTTCGTGTGGTTCAGTTTCACGCTGACCACACGCAGCATGGGATGGACGGCCAGGGGCCCGTGCACCACACCCCCCTCTGGGGAGGCCTCACCAGCTCAGAGCAGCTGGTCCCGTGGAGCAGCGCCCACGGCAGGACTCGGGCGGGGGGCACAGACGGGTCTCTAGGGGCACTTCCAAGGCAGAGGCCCCGGGCGTGCCCCCAACGAGCTCACAGTTGTAGCTGGCCTGCCTTTGGAAAGAACCAGAGGCCCATTTCCTCGCTCACAGCAGAGCCTTCCAGGCCAGTGTTTGGATGATGTGCTTGCTATCACGCAGACCCTTACATTTTATGATACTAAGATGTTCTTGTATAAATCTTTGTATGTTTGACCAAATCGCCCAGTACAAATCTGATTGCTATAAAAATCAAATTCATGTCCCTTACTTTGCGGAGGCCGGTCTTCAGGACAGGCCGACTGGAACAAGGCCAGGTGCCGTGAGCTCCCGCACCTGGGGCTGCTCGTTGCTTCCGGATGAATGGCAGGTGCCCCGTCAGCTTCTGGCTTAATTTCATCTTCAAACACTGTGATTTCAGTAATTTGTACTTATAATAATACAGTTTGTTATTTTGTTTCTAATTTTAAATCCACGTACATTTAAATTGTTTTGTTTATGATGCATCACAGAAGGAAGAGCTAAAACTTTCTAGCGTGCTTTAAGTAAGATCATACTTCAAGTTCAGCCTGAATTAGAGACTGTAAGTGGCTTTCAGCTAAATTCTCCTTCAGTGTCACTCTACGCCCTGCCGACCTAGCCCTCTCTGCCCCCCAAGTAAGCGCAAGGAGAAGGGGGGCCACATGCTGGGAGCCTCTGACAGGGACGAGCCGCCTTTCGCAAGGGGATGTTGCGGCCTCCGTGCTGACCCCGTCTTTCTCTCGTGTTCCTGCCTCTGAGCAATCAGGGTGCCTCCCTCCCAGCTCTGGGTCTGAATGCGAGGCCTTGCCTGCTGGATTCCAGGGGTGTCTGAGGCTCATCTCCATTAATGCCCAAGAGGTGGATCTGATTTCAGTACAGCGGGGAGTGTTTGGGAACTTCAGCGGCCTGGACATCGACTCCTGCGGCATTCTGGACAGGTGAGGTCACTGCTCCCACCCCTGTGCTCGGGCCTGTGATGGCAGATCGCAGGCGCTCACAGCTGGGCGTGCTTCCTCTCCCTCTGGGTCCCTGGAACCCCCTCGTGCTGCCCTTCCCCCGCTGTCCACGGGGAGTCCGAGAAAGTGAGAAAACTGTGTCTATGACTGTGTAGAACACCTTCTTTGGAATGACGGCATTTGGGTGGAAGGCTCATGCTCTTGACCGCCCTTCTCCCATGTCGGCGAGCTCCCTGACTCAGAATGAGCCGTGCTAACGTGGCTGCAATGTCCACAGAGAGAGATAGGTCAGTAGCATGTTGCTGGACAGCATGGATCATGACGACCAGATGCCGGAGACCAGAAGCCCATGTGGTCAGGGTGGGGTGTCCGGAGGGTGGGCCGCCGAACTGCCCCAGGTCCACAGGGGCAGCGAGAAAGGGCCTACCCTGGGGACAGGTTGTTAGGACCCAGGAAGGGACGAGCAGCTCCCTGACGACCAGGGGTGACCTCAGAGGTGTCCCTGGGGATGAGAAGTAAGTAAAATGCAGGAAGTGGGAAGGAAGGAAGAAGGTCAATGTCGCTGAGGCAGGAAAGCCAGGCTCTCACAAGGGGGTGATTTGGGTAGGCAGGCTGGCTGGCACCTTCCTCCCGCAAGTGCTAATATGTTTTTGGATAAACGCTACAGCTTGAGAAACCCCTTCTTCACATGTATGAGCAATTCAGCCGAATTCACATGCACCTGTTCTGTCTCTTCTTAGCTTAGTCATGTCCTAGTCCTTGTTGTACAATAATCAGAATTCAGTGTGAGCTTCACAAAATTCATTATCACTTGCAATCCTCAATAACAGCAGGACACAGGGGTGCCTGGTGCCTCAGCCAGTTGAGCGTCCAACTCTTGGTTTCGGCTCAGGTCAGGATCTCAGGGTCGTGGGATCAAGCCCCGCTTTGGGCTCCCTGCTCAGCGCAGAGTCTGCTTCTCCCTCTCCCTCTGCCCCCTCCCCCTGCTTGCGTTCCCTCTCTCGCTGTGTCTCTCTGTCAAATAAATAAAATCTTTTAAAAAATTTTTAAATAAAATAAATAAATAAATAAAATAACAGCAGGACACAGTCCTCACCAGCGGAGTGACTCACTCTCTCAGACGTGGTTTCCCCACATGCTCATTGCATTAATTGTGGGCGGAGCAACCCTTCTCTGGGGAAGGGAGACTGTAGCCAAGGTCTGGCTTCCCAGACCTTCAGGGGAAACCGCCGCATCATGTGTAGGGCACAGTCACCCAGCACACCTGGCTGGAGGGGCTCGCACACCCCAGACCCGCACTTGGCGGAGGGGTCGCTGGGGGCACGGCTGTCAGCAGGAAGGTAGCCTTGGGGGTGGCTGGACATGGTTCCGGCCCCGTCAGCTGCTACCTCAGCTCTTGGGAAATTTCTCTAACATACAGCCTTTAACAAGCAATCTATGGGGACCAGTTTGTGCATAAAACTCTTATAGTAAAGGCAGATTTTTAACACAAACATAGAAAACACGTCATCTGTCATATAAAGATTCTTTATCACATTTACCAAAGATCAGGTTGTGAGGTTAGAGCTTAAAATAAAACTTCAGTCTGAGGCTCCAGAGGAGATACAAAAGTGGCAGGAGGGTGTGTAACTTGTACATAGTATCTCCGGACAGGTTCTGCTTTGACACCTCTTCTGCTTTGAAAGCGTCTCTTGTATCATCTTTATGTACTCTGATTGGGAAGAGGTAGAAACAAATGTGTGCGAAGCCATCCGTCCACGTAGTGTGTGTGAATCGTGTTTTCTTGTTGGCCGCTGACGTGGAAGAACAGTTTGTCTCTTCACTTCCAGCTTGATGGACATTTGGGTTCTGTCCAGTTCGGGGCTGTGACCACGAAGCTGCTATGAATGTTCAGGTACAAGTCCTTCCGAGGTCCACCTCCACTGTCCTTGAGCAAATACCGGAGGGGAATGGCCAGACAATGTGGGGGACAGCTCTAGGTTTGGGGGTGCCGCCACCCTTGCCTAAGGTGACGGTGCAGCGTCCAGTCCCCCAGCAGGGCGAGGCAATCCCAGTCCCCCCAAGTCCCCGCCAGTACTCACTGCGGTCAGTCCTCCACACTGCAGCCTTGACAAGGGGCACACGGACGCCTCCCCATGGTCTGTGCCTAATGCCTGGCCTTGTGGAGTCCTTACCTGCGGAAACGTCTCTCAAGTCCTTTGCATGCTCTTTAGAATTTGTTTTCTTATTGAGTTTTGAGAGTCCTTTCTCAGATATGTGCTGTATAAATGCTCTTCCTCAGCTTTGTTTCCTTATTCTCCAACGACATCTTTTGAAGAACACAGCTCTTGATTTAGACAAAGTCAAATGTACCCTTTCTTTTCCTTTTTAGGAGTTGTGCCTTTGATATCCTACTTAAAAAGTTTCTGAGGGGCTCCTGGCTGGCTCACTTGGACTTTTGATCTCGGGGTTGTGAATTCTAGCCCCACATTGGGTGTAGAGATTACTTACATAAAAGAAACTTGAAAAACATAAAAAAGAAGTCTGACTAATCTGAGGTCACAAGAATTTTTTGCTATGTTTATTCTAGACTTTTAGATTTAATTTATATCTGATAAAGTTTGAGTATTTCTTAATATATGGCACAAGGTAGGCAGGGTTTTTGTTTGTTTTGCATATAGACATCCAGCACCATTGTATGGAAGTGGGACCTCTCCTCCCTTTGGCTGTCTTTGTGCCTTTGTGGAAACCCAGCTGTGACATGGGCTTCTGTCTGAGCTGCTGATTTAGTTTCTTTGATCTATTTATCTTTCTGCCAATTCCGCATGTTCGTGGTTATAGTCACATTATAATAACAACTGGAATCAGATGTTTTTGCCCTCCTAAATTTGTTTTGTTTTTAAATTGTTTCTGTTGTATTACATCTTTGAATTTTCATAGGAATTTTGGAACTGGCTTGTGAATTTCTTTTAAGAATCCTGCTAGGAATTTGATTAGGAGTTTGTTGAATCTATACATCAATTGGCAGTGAATTAATCCCTCCCTGTGCAGTACAAGAACCTAAAAAAAAAAAAGTCTTTTCCTTTCTCCCTCCAGCTTTCATGATTTTGTTGCCAAACATTTTATCAACTCTCACTGTAAGCCCTTCCCTGCATCTTGTTTTATTTCTGCTTAAACAGTCAATTCTCTTTTAACGGAATTTAAATAATAATCGTAATCTTGGGTCATTTTCATCTGTCTAAGGTTGCCGTTGGCAATCACCTCTCAGGCTCTTAGTGAATTCTTTCAACACTGGAATCATCCTGATGGAATAAACAAGCCGAGTCTCTCCCTTTATTTCATGACAGTAAAAATCCCAAAATTTCCTCCAAAACTTCCAATCTGAAAATAGGAAAAATGGATTCAGCCAACTGATTGTGAAATGCAGGTCAATTAGAAAAGAGTGTATTTATCATGGAGTGGGAAATTTAGCCTCGAGTTTCCTGCTAAACTGGAAGCATTTTCTTTAGGGTCTGGAAATAGCAAGCGCCACCCCATCTATAATCTGCGTGTCTAGTTCATCACTCGTTTTGCTGGTCTTGCAGTTGTTGGTGAAACCCCTTCATCCTACAGGCATCCACCAAAGGCACACATATAACATTCTGAATAAACTATAGCAACTGTGTTCATGGGTTTCCTCAACCTATCAAAAGTGCTGATACAAATATAAATTAGATGACATGGAACTCTCATGACAGATTAATGAGTCATTTTAAGAAATTTTCTGGGTAAAGTTTGTATCGTGTGTGATTACAGTTCCTAGGCTTACGTATAAATACAAGCACATGCATAACCCTGGTGGCTATTTTGTGTGCTGTGGTTTTAAGTGAGTTCTGCTTCCCTTTATGAACTCTCTAGACTGAATATTTGATAATGGTCATTTGCTGTTTCTATTCAAGAAAATCAGTTCTACTAAGATCAATTAAAATTCACAGAAGTCCTGCGAGTGAAATTTCAAGTGTCCCATTTTAATTTTAATTGGGCAGATTACAAAGTATCCATTGTGCATAAATGCTGCTGAGTTTTCTTGAGTATTTTCTGATTTACTTGTTTATCTTGGGGGAATATAATGCATGTATGCCTTTGATCACAACGGGCCTTTTATTACAAATAGCAAGCAGACAAAGAATCAGAGCAATAGGTGAGCCTGGGATACATGCCCTGTGGGCGGCTGGCCCCTTCTTAGTCTCCGCATTTTTTCCGTCCTTTCTCTCAAAACTCTACATGTGGCAACAATCCAGCATGACGCAGTGTCGCTGTTGGCTCCTGCAAGCGACTTCTGTTCCCGGACCCACAGAGCGTCCACGTTGTGCTCCCGTGGCAGGAAACGTGTTTCTCCAGCAGACGGGGAAGCACACGTGTCAGCCCCCTGAGTCAGGGTTCATCAGCCCGGGGCTGGTGCTTGCTCGGTCATCACGCGCCGTGGGCGGCCGCTGTCCCCTCCTTGATGTCCCCGCACGTCGGCTAGCAGGACGGTATCCCCCAAAGAGCAGGAGTCACACGGAGACCCTCCCTGCTCTTCTTTCAGGTGCTTGCCCAACCACTGTGAGCACGGTGGCAGGTGCTCCCAGACCTGGACAGCCTTCTACTGCAACTGCACCAGCACGGGGTACACGGGCGCCACGTGCCACCACCGTAAGCGCTCTGCCCCGCCCCCTCCTGCCCCTCCCCCTCTGCCCCTCCCCCTCCTGCCCTTCCTCTGCCCCGCCCCCTCTGCCCCGCCCCTGCCTTCCTCTTCCGGATGCCTGTCCGCGTGGCTTTATCTACAGCCGTGACCCACGCACGTGCACCAGGGTCTGGTTGTGTTCTAGGTGGCTCACTTAAAGTCACTTATGTAAACATAAAAATTGATAGGAAAGAAGAAGACAATGGACAAAAGGAAAATAAACCTAAGAAAATCCATTGTAATCAAAGAGAAACCTGAAACAAAATCACTCATTCCTAAATTAATCTCTGGTTGGGTTTCCTGAGTTGGCCACAGTTTTGCTTCTGAGCTTTCTGGCAACACCACACAACGGAAATGTGATTGTTACTAGGTTATTAATGTTCACAGAAGTAAACAGATTCCCAGGAGAATCCTGGTAGGACCCGGAGGTCTTTTGATGGTGGTGGTGATAATTGCAGGTTCGTTTGTCGGACGTCTTAGATGTCAGGCCCTGTTCTTTGCCTCTTGTGCATTACACAATCCCATCCGCACTATGGGCATGACTGAAATCCATTATCCGGTGAGGAAACAGCCGGTTCTATAACTAGTGTGGGTTTCTCACCTATAGCATCACTGAAGTTTGGGGCCAGAGAAGCCTGCTAGGGCCGCCCTGCGCACTGTAGGATGTTCAGCGCATCCCTGGCCTCCACTCACTGGAGGACAGTGGAGCCTCCCTCTATTTTCTCCAAAATTGCCCCAGGCTGAGAGTGCCGCCTTGGTGGGATGCTCTGCACATTTTATGTAATTTAACCTTAGGAGACTCATGGAAGGCAGGCAGGCGGGGATGCCATGAAGTCCTCTCTCACAACGGGGCCTGGGTTTTGGGAATGTGACCCATTGAGGGTCTCAGGGTCTGATCCTCGGGGAGGACCCGGGACCAGGACCCTGTCTCACAAAGACGCTTGGAGGAGAGGGAGGAAGACAATGATCAAGAAGGGCTCTGGGCAGCCCCACCTTCTCAGGCTGGCTCCGGGTGGCCCACGGGAGGGAGGGGAGAAGAGGTTCCAGAACCAGAGCCCAGGGCCTGATGGGAGGAGGAGCCCCCACGGCTGTATCTCCTCTCATCCATCCCCCGTCATGCCCAAAACAGAACCCCGCACAGAGCAGATGCCTGGTGGATGTGCTTTAATGAATTGACTTTTCTAGTTTAATTCTTATGAGTGACTGTCAGTCCTCGGGCTCTGAGGAAGCAGTCGGAGGATAAATGAATGGGCTCTGCTCCTGCGAGCCGCCTGACCCACCCAAGTGGGTATCACCGTTGTTCTCCCCAGAAGGGCAGATGGTCCCCAGTAATGCACTGGTGAGGCTGCTCTGAGACATGGCCGGGAGGGGACCTAACTAGGCCAGGTCACCCCCCTGCTCTTAATTGGGGTGGGAGGGACGAGCTGAGGGGACACACTGTAAAGAACAAAAGTTCACGTGTTCCGGGGCCGTCTGCCAGCAGATAAAGCTCCAGCCAAACACTCGTGGTCTGGTTCCTGGTGACGGGACAGTGCACCAAATTCTGCACTGGACCAAGTAATCATATTTGCCTGTAGAGGCTTAACAGCATTGTAAGTCTAACCCTCCTACCTCCTTCATTACCTTATCACACACATTCCTTTAAACAATGGTTCCGCATTTTCAGATTTGGTCACATTTCCTCCTGGAGGGTGAATATTTGCTATGATGCAGAACATGGGGTCTCCTTCACCTCCTCCTTATTAATGTAGGACTTTCCCTCCATCCCATTTCCGGTGACCGACTGGTGGTTCTCCCCAGCCCTCTACGAGCAGTCCTGTGAGGCATATAAGCACAGGGGCAAGTCCTCAGGGAGATACTACATCGACCCTGATGGCAGCGGACCCCTGCAGCCCTTCCCCGCGTTCTGCAACATGACAGGTGAGTCAAAAATTTCAACTCTTACTAAACACAAAATCACAGCCCGGTAAGTAGATTTGTACCTGCCTAGCAGCTTTATTAGGATAACCTTGTGAGAGCAGTTATTCAATAGAAGCATTTGATATAAATCATTAAAAATAGTTCAAAAGTGAAAATTCATAATTATGTCACTCTTTACATGCATATACTCTGTGGAATATTTAATAATACAATTTTGCCTATTAAATCCTGAAACGAAAGGTTTTTCAAGACTTACCTGTTTGGATTCATGGATGTGCAAGTCAAAAGCATTTTCACCTGTTTTTTTGTTGTTGTTGTTGTTGTTGTTGTTGTTGTTTGAGATCTTATTTATTTTAGAGAGACCGAGAGCACAAGTGCAGGGAGGGGCAAGAGGCAGGGAGAGAGAGAATCTCAAGCAGGCTCCCCTCTGAGCACAGAGCCCCATGCAGGGCTCAGTCCCACAACCCTGAGATCATGACCTGAGCCGAAATCAAGAGTTAGGACGCTCAACCGACTGAGCCACCCAGGCACCCGCATTTTCACCGTTTTACATAACTAAAAATTGTGTACATTTCAGCTAGACAGCCTGATGGTCTTTGAGTGAGTGTGAACATTCAATGTGTGTGCTTTTGAGCTCCTTAATTCCCATGCAGAGGCAGGCTGCCTATCTCTCTAATCGCCACATGTGTTTCTGTGACTGTGGCCACATCCCCATGTCCTGTCCACACTGGAGTCCATGCATCCACCCCTCAGCCCACGCTGCCCCTCGCCCCCGGGCAGGACACCTTCCACGATGCGTCTCTGCATTGCTGTGTGATGTTAGCTCCAGTCTCCAGAAGGAACTGCCTTCTCTTTAAATTTTCTACCTTGCTGTTTCCGATAGTGTTATCCAGATTTTAGAGTGTCTCCCTGGGCACTAGGTTGGATACTATCCCCCCAAAATTCACGTCCCCCTGGACGCTGCGAATGTGACTGTGTTTGGAAATAATGTTTCTTCAGATGTGGTCCAGCTGAGATGCGGTTGTGCTGGGTGAGGGTGGGCTCTGGGGCAAAGGCCCATGTCCTGATGAGGGGAGGGAGACTGGGGACCACGGACACAGGAGGGGAGGGGTCGTGTGACCAGCAGAGGATGGCCAGGGTTCCGGCTACACCAGCAGCGCTGCAGGGGGGCGTGGTCCGGCCACCCCGTCGCTCGGGCTCTGGGCCCCGGGTGTGGGAGAACTGACCTGGGTGCACGAAGCCACCGGGCTGTGGTGCTTTGTTTCAGCAGCGGGGAAGACAACACACCCTGTTGCAAATTCCCTGAGGAAAGAACCATTTCTGGATAGATTTTTTTTTTTAAGATTTTATTTATTTATTCATGAGAGACAGAGGGAGAGAGAGAGAGAGAGAAGCAGAGGGAGAAGCAGGCTCCCAAGGAGCAGGGAGCCTGATGCGGGACTCGATCCCAGGACCTCGAGATAATGACCTGAGCCGAAGGCAGATGCTTAACCATCTGAGCCACCCAGATTTTTTTTTAATGATTTTTGAATAGTTTAAAACCATTCCCATGAAATTTTTGATTTTCTTTCTCCTCAATTCTCAAGATAAAGTCTGAGTGTTGCTGCCTTTAACCAAATTATTTGAACAAATGTGAGTCAGGCAGGTCTTCCTCCCGAGGTTGTGGAGCGGCGGGGATGGAGCGGCAGTGTGCCGGCAGCACGGGGCTCAGACGAGCATTTCCACACGAGCGCCCAGACCTCCGGTGGAGACACAGGTCCGTGTCTGAGACAGCTGGGCCCAGTAAACAGTGAGGGGAAGTCCGAGGCTGGTATCTGGGGACCCCTGGTTCCGCAGGTAAACACAACTCCCTCTGGGGTGTCTTCTGCTTGGAGGCAGTGCGTGGCCACCTGGTCCCTGCTGCACCTGACGTTCTCTGCAGACAACGGGCACGCGTGCTGGGAGCCCCTCTGGGTGTGCAGCGGCGCTGAGCCGTGTCTGGGCGCGCAGGAGCGCAGAGCCGTGTCTGGGTGGGCAGCGAGGAGCCATGTGGGGGCGCACAGCAGCGAGGAACCATGTCTGGACGCACAGGAGCAAGGAGCCGTGTCTAGGCACGCGGCGGCGCGGAGCCGTGTCTGGGCGTGTAGCGGCATGGAACCTCAGAGGCGAAGCCTGATCCCGGCCTGTCTGACCCCCAAGTCTTCCTGGGGGTCCATCGACCAGACTTGTGGGTGCAATGATGGTGTGTCTGAGTGATGGCCAGGCCTTGACCTCTGGAAGAATGAAGATGCGCCTTCATGCGTGGTGCAGGATGCCACATGCGTGTGCCTGCCCCAGAGCTGGGCGGCGGCAGGAGCACATAAGGTCGTTTGTTCGCAGCTTCACCTCAGCAGCCTGTGTCCTCCGCCTCAGACTCAGAATGGCCACAACAGCGTGAGGCGCCCTGACCCCTTACGGACACTGTCCCTTGCCACAGGGTGAGCGGACAGCAGGCAACCCAGCCGTGCGGGTGCGTTTAGGGACGGGGCCCTCGCCCAACACCGCAGATGCCAAGGGGGTGGACTTGCTGAGGCAGCGCAGTGCACTCGGCGGATTCTCAGTGGCAGTTTTCTTGACCTTCGTTGTGAGTTCAAGGCCAGGCGCTGAAGTCATTTGTCCCATCGACACCTTCTGTACCCTAACATTTCCTCCTTGTGGCCACAGTCAGCCCTGGCCATCCAGCGGCAACGGCGCGGCTTCACTCCCCCGTCTCTCAGTCCCGGGTGTCCTGGGGGCTTGTTCCAGAGCCTCGCCTCCGAGGAGGGTGCTGTAACAGGAGGGCCAGGGAAATGCAGGAGAAGGAGAATGGGGCTGACCACGACCCCAGAGAGTCTCAGGATGGGAGGGTGGGCAGGGAGCACAGTGGTAGGCGGGAAGGGCCCTCGTCCAGGCAGGCCGGGCGCACGGGGCGGGCAGCTTCGGAGGAAGCACCCCACCCAGGGAAGCATGAGACTCAGAGTGGCCACTGAGGAGGGCCCCAGACCTCACCCGGCCTCCTCAGCCCCAGGAATCATGTGTCCCCTCTGCACTGGGAACAGGCCAGCAGGTGACGGGGACCTGAAATCCAAGGTTGGGTTGAGAGTCGTCACGGCTCTGAGGACGTCCGGGGTTTTCCTCGGGGCAGCTGCAGCCCTGAGAGCCCTGGGAGTGGTCTCAGGAGGTGCTGCGTGGCGACCCCCTCTCCTGGGCTCTGGGTCTCTGCCTCCCTGACGGCAGCGAAGTCACCATGTCCCTCGTCCCAGAGAACAGGGTCAGGTGCCAAAGGCTCATGCCTTGTTCAGGGGACAGATAATTGACCTGTTTATGGTGCTCACAAAACCCGCCGAAGTCGTAATGGGAATCGGACTATTTGGGAAGGCAGAGCAGGAAGACAGCAGAGGGGAGCCCCCAGGGAGCGCATGGGCTGGGCTCCTCAGGAGCAGCCGCCGGAGGGCAGCTGGGGCGGGTGCTGCAGGGGCTGCGCCCCCAGAGGCGGACAGCTCCCCCTCACGTGTGCTGGCAGTGCCAGTGGTGGAACGGGTCTCCAACACGTCTTGTGGAAGAACGAGGCCCGTGCGCCCGGCCCGGGCAGAACAGGGGCCGTGGCCATGAGACGTGGGACCCTCATCTCTGTGGGCCTCTGGCTCACCACCACAAAGGAGGCACGGGGTGCCACCTCCCGTCAGTGAGGATGTTTGGCACAGATGAACGGCTTCTCAGTGCTTGGGAGGACCATGTGATGCCCTCAGGTCTTCGAGGCCGATTCCCACGTTGGAGCTGTCCGTGTCTTCTCGGTCTCCTCCTGGGGACGCGGGCCCGCCGAGCAGATGTGCTGTGCTCCCGTCATTGCTTTGTTTGGATTCACCTTCTGTGTGAACTGCACCTCCTGCTCTCTGACGTGTTGTCAGGTGGGACGAGAGGTGTGAATCGGAACCCGGGGCGTTTTAATGCTAGAGTGGGTGTCACGCGTTCGGTCCAGATGAATCCAGCCCCTGAATGAAACCAGCCTGATGGGCCCGACTGCTCCCCAGCTGTGTCCAGAGGGCAGCCCACGATTTCCACGTCACTTGGGCTCCGGGGGTGGAGCAAGCAGGGACCATGTGGTCCACTGTCACACGTCCCTGAGGCCATCGCGGCTCCAGCGTGAACTGTACCCAGCGATCCCAGGTCTGACCCCACAAGAATGGGAAGGCATGTGCAGGTGACCCCAGAGCTCCAGCCCATCCTCCTCCTTGGCTGCGGAAGCACCAGAGCAGCAGAAGTCCTGAAGAAATGAGCTACAGCAGCTTGCGGGGCCACCACCACAGTGTGCCACACGGCGGGTGGCTCACACAGGACTCGGCCATCTGGCTGCTTGGTGGCTGAGTCCTCCGTCTGATGCACAGTCACGGATGGTGCCTGTGTCTCCGGCAGGAACTCCAGACATGCAGGACAGGGTCACACAGAGTAGCAAACCAACAAAACCAAGTCCATGGGGCTGCTTTCCAGGCCCCTTAATCAGACAAATCCCAACAAAAAGGGACAATTTAACCAATTCCTTTTCACAGATGACACTGGGCGACTGGACCACACAGAGAGAGTCCCGGCAATGGGGATTAGAAGAATCCATGTCCCCTTGTGCACCAGCATTCAGCATGCAGGGTTCAAATTCCAGCCACTGTGCCAGGTAGACAGATGTGTCCCGGGTAGATAGAAGTGCCCCAGGTAGACAGAGGTACACCCAGGCAGACAGAAGTCCATCCAGGTAGACAGATGTATGCCCAGGTGGACAGAAGTGCATCCAGGTAGCACAGGTAGACAGAGGTGCCCTAGGTAGACAGAAGTGGCCAGGGGTCACGGCACTGTCACAGGCCATGGTATCTCACCCTGCAGAGCAGGGTCAGGTGTGGGTCCAGGAATGCCACTTCTCCTTGCCTCTCAGCTCTGAGCGGAGCAGGTGTGATGCCACAGTGACCTGCAGAGAGCCTGCAGGTCAGTGCACATAAGAGGAACACAGGTTGCTGACAGCGTCAGGCTCATTCTCCAGTGAAGAGTAGTGTTTGTTAAAGCAGAAAAGCCATCATTTGCCTTGCATTACTTTAGGTTATTAGAGAAATAGAATAACTAAGTTATACGTCTTTTTCTCTCCCATAAATGTTGTCTGGCTAAAAATCCAGAAACACCCACTTTCACGAAAGGATCAGCTCAGACATAAATGACACACATCATCACAGGAAGACCACTCTCTCCCATGATTTAAGGTTTAGAGTCCCATTTGCGTTGACTCTGCGTCTGCCCACTAGAAGGCGACCGGCGGTGCTGTGTGGCCAGCTCAGTGACGCTCCTCTCCTTTCTCTCCCGCTCCACCCGTGAGACATCCCGTGGACCGTCATGCAGCACAATGGCTCAGGCCTCACCAGGGTCAAGGGCGCAGACCAGGAGAACCTGCACCGGGCGGTGTTCCAGTACGAGGCCAGCCTGGAGGACCTGCTGGCCGCCATCACCCGCGCCGGGCATTGCCAGCAGCAGCTGGAGTTCCACTGCAGGAGGTCTCGGCTCCGGGACTCACGAGGTAGGTGCCAATGACGTGCACAGCCCCGCCAATCCCCACCAGCCCCAGCCCCCAGTGCTGAGGTGTGGGTGGAGGAGGCACGGAGCACAGGTCTAGATTGATCCAGGGGCAGATGCTTACCTTTCTCCATCGTATCCAGACTGACTCTCAGGGCTGCTTCAGGCTGTGCCTTTCTTCCTTCTGACCACTCACCGAGTCACTATTTCTTGTGTCCTGTTAGCGCCACGAGTCCTGGTCCCCCAGTCCTCACTGCTCTTCCCAAGCATCTGGCCCCAATTTTTCCACTATTTACTCTTTATGAAGGAACGTGTCTTTCTGGACATGGCTTCCACCGTGCATGCTCCTGTTTGGGAAGCTCTCAGGCCCTGCTCCGTACGCCCCTGCAGGGTCCAGGGACCTCCAGGCATGACCACTCTCACCAAACCCCACACTGGCTCCTCAGCTCCTGGTTTCCTACTGTGGATACTGCACGTGATCTATGGTACAAGCTCATCTGAATTTTGCAAATCACTTCTCTTTTCACCCACGAGGGAAATGGCAGAAAAGTATATGTAGCCTCAAATTAAACCCACTCACTCGAGGTTGCTTCTTCTGCGAGGGAGCACCTGCAGATTAAAGGGAAGGACGGCCAAGGGCTTCCGCTGGTGGGTCAGGCTCTCCCGCTCCAGGCAGACCCTCCTGCCTCCCCCCGGTCTCTATAGTACCTAACAACTCACAAATGCAACCAGAGGCCCTAGGTGTTATGACAACCTTTGGAGAATCACTGTTGGCGGGAGAGATGAGCGATGTAGAAAACATACTTACAAGATGCAGCCCAGTGATGTCATTTCTCTCTGGTTTGAAAGGATAATGGTGAAATAATTAAAACTTTAAAGTGTTATTATCAAAATATCTATTAAATATTTTAAGTGCCATTAGCCTTCCTGCAATGAGCTTTCAGCTTAACTTGGAAGAAATTGATCTTAGATGCCTTCTCGCACTCTCTTCCCGGTCCCACGGGGAGTTCGCAGTGGCCAGGCATTTTCTTGTGAGCGGTTATTAGTCCTGGGTGGAGAGGTCCCAATCTGACAGGGAGCGGGACGGACCACGGCCCTGCCACACATTGGGTGCTCAGAGTTTCTTGGTGGCCGCTCAGCCACTTACAGGCGTGGAGGAATGTCCACACAGCCCCGCCTCCCACGAGCCCCGTGGGTGCATCTCCCGCAGCACCCCACTCATCACCGGCTCCCGGGCATGGGGTGGCCTGGGGCTCTTGGAGACGTTGTCCCTCTCCTTCGGTGGCCCGGGGCATTTGCGAGGGGTCATAACAAGGCAGCCATGGGCTGTGGTCCAGTGGGGTGCCGCTGCTCGGGAGAGCTTTCAGAACAGAGGAGGCGCTCAGGCAGGGGTAAAGAGTTCACCCTGCAGAGGCGTGGACTCGCTTTTCAGCGCAGCGGTGCCCCAAACCAGCCAGGCCTTGGCAGGGGTACACCCCACGCAGTGCCCCGAGGAGGCATGCGGCCAGGGCCTCGGAGAGCGCGCTGCCGGGAGCCTGCCTGTCTGGGCGGGGTTGTTTCTATCCGACAGGCATTCAGATCCGCAGCAGGTGTCAGCCTCTCGTGTAGCTGCGTTTTAATCCTGATGGCAACTCACTTTTTAATATAGTTCTTGAAGAAATCACATAATTTTGCTGATTAAAAATTATTTAATGCCACGATGGAAAGACTTGGGTGCCGTCATTTATTTTCAAGGGATGTAATCAGACAAACCCAAAGTTGGATTACAATTCTCATAGAAACACCATCCTGTCACAGTGTTAAGAATAGGTTCACTTCTGAAGCAGATTTGTTCTTGGCTGCCAGTTTCTTAATAGCAGACTGGGAGAGAAGGGGGTCATCTGGGGGAGGCAGGGCCCAGGGGCCAAGCAGAAGTCACCTTTCTCAAACCTGTCTTTCAGATGGAACCCCTCTGAGCTGGTGGGTTGGAAGCACCCATGAGATACACACTTACTGGGCAGGTTCCATGCCTGAGGCCCAGGTGTGTGCTTGCAGATTAGCGGGGAACTGCGTTGACTCCCAGTACCACTGCAACTGCAACGCGGACCAGGATGAATGGTGAACTGCCTGTGATTTCCTTCTTTGAGATGTGCTTTTGCTATTGCTCAAAATGTGTATGTTCGGGTAGATGCTGCACAAGCCAGGCCAGGGATTAGGGTGGATGAAATTATGCCCAAGTGAGTTAAAAACATCTATGGCGATAAAATACAATACCATTAATCTGAACTATTAAGATCAATGATTTGCTGGCTTTCTTCCTTTCTTTTCTTCACTTCCTGTTTCTCATTTCTAACGTCTTCGTCTTGAGCAAGGGCAAACCCCCACAAAGGGCAGAGCACCACTAACAAGCCCTGTGTGCCCATCACCACCACCAGCTCATGGTGGCCTCAGATTGTGGGCTGCCCCCTGCCTGGATTACTGCTGAGGAAACCCACACATCACACCATCTCATCCCTCAATATTCTGTTATAAAATCCACGGGGAATCATTTATATTTTTTGTTCACTAGGACATCGGCCTCATTATAATTTCTAAAAGTTTTGAATTCTGCCTCATTAAGTTCACTTAAGAGATCTCTTCTTGACAGGACATAGTTTCTGAAGATTGTTCCTGATCAAACAGGTGCAGGGCATGATGCTCCGTGAGGCATGCTGCTTGGGGGGCTGGGCTGGCCTTGCGCACCACAGGCTCTGAGAGGGTGTCCAAAATTATTTGATAACATAGTTGGTCAAATCAGTTTATGTTTAAAATCATATATATCACATGTAGACCACACTTTGGAAATACTAGCCTACAGAGTACCACAGATGTAAAAATGGTACTCCACATATTAAATGGAAGAGGTGTCCCATGTTGATAGAAAATCTGTGAAGTTAGAAAATTGGTTACTTAGACATGAGGCTAAAGAAATTGCATTGCATATTGATTTTTTTTATTTATTTGCAAACTGGAAAGGTTTTGAAATCTCTGGGATTCATGTTTCAAATGTATCACCAATTTAAAAATAACCCCCTTAGCTCAGATGCTTTAGGTATAGCATTTATATGCTACTCTGAGTACGGGTCATGGACACCAGAATCACCTCTAAAAGAACAAAGTTTGATCAATGTGATTTATTTGGCTGCAGAATGTCTGTTATACTCAGGAATTGAGACAAATTTGGGTTGCTGTGGGGTGGGGGAGCAAGGAAACATTTCCGGTGGCATGGCTCAGAGCAGGACCCTTGGTCATTAACGTGATGTAGGAGCAGAGGTGGCCCTGGGCAAGCATGTGCAGAGGACCCTGGGCAGGGGTGAATGGCTCTGACGTTCGGGGTCTGGGAAGGAGCAAGACTGGAAACTGGAGACACCCTACACAAAGACATGGGGACGAGACATGGGGGGACTGGTGTATCTGCGGTCTCCTGTCAGCGACCAACAGGGAGACCACCAGGGAGAAACCTCAGAAAGCTGCAAGACCAGGTGGCTTGTCCAGAGGGCATTAGCCCCCTTCTGCTCTCTGACCCCCTGACGGCTGCACCATGGTCCCTGTGACTCATTCCCACTGCGAACAGTGTTTCCAGTTATGGAGGCAACATCACTGATCCTTCTGGATATTATCCAAAGATCCACTTGTAGAATTTCTACTTCCTGTCTGCAAAACGTGCAGTCATGTGGTTAGAGCTCCTGGGAGCAACCGGAACCCGGAGCCACAGACACCACCGGCCACCTTGGGCAACTCACGCCAGTGAACCCAGAGACAAAGGAGAGAGTTCCTTGTAGTCTGTCGAGCTGAGCTGGGCTGCCTCCATGCAAATGGAGTGGAGAGCACATCCTGAACCCGGAGAATTCTCTGGTCTTCTCTGGCACTGACTTGCCCAGGACATGGCATTCATAGCAACCACAGCCCGACAAGGGAGAGGCCAAGGGTCAGACCCTCAGGAATGGGTATTAGATATGCTTTGAGGTGGGCGGCCTACCCAGAACAGTGCTCCAAGGCAGAGGGGTGTCCACGGTGGGTGGTATGCAGGGAGCTGGCGAATGCTATTTAAGACCTCAGAGCCAACAGCAGGGGCCATTGCTTGGCCCACTGGGGACCACTACTGGCCACCGCCCTGAAGAGTCAGTAACAAGACAGAATGAAGCCAATATGGGCACAGTGGATCAATGCAGTGCAAGGGGTGGACTGCAGTAGACACCGTCAGGGCCACCCAGATGTGCATGCCCCAAATACCTTTCTTCTCTCTGCCTGGGGGCAGTCACTGGCCACAAGGATATGCTTGGCCTGTGCAAGGCAGACCAACGTGCCAGAGGACAAACACACCCAGCACACCCCACCATTTGTCGGGGAGGGACAAGGTGTGAACGGGGATTCTTTACACCATGGCTGCAATGTGTCTGTTAGCTGAAATTTGTCAAAAAAAAAGATTAAAAATTTGCAAATGAACTCAAAGGGGTGTGTGTGCATATATCTGTGTGTGAATTGGCAAGCTCCATCCTATCTCCACCTCTGTCACCACCTCCGTCCCCACCTCCATCACCACCTCCACCTCCATCTCCATCCCCACCTCTGTCCCCACCTCCACCTCCATCCCCACCTCCACCTCCATCCCCACCTCCATCTCCACCTCCATCCCCACCTCCATCCCCACCTCCATCCCCGTCTCCATCCCCACCTCCACCTCCATCCCCACCTCCATCTCCATCTCCATCCCCACCTCCACCTCCATCCCCACCTCCACCTCCCCCCCATCCCCACCTCCACCTCCATCCCCACCTCCATCTCCACCTCCATCCCCACCTCCATCCCCACCTCCACCTCCATCCCCACCTCCACCTCCATCCCCACCTCCATCTCCATCTCCATCCCCACCTCCACCTCCATCCCCGTCTCCACCTCCATCCCCACCTCCATCCCCACCTCCATCCCCATCCCCTTGTCCATCCCCAAACTCATCTCTCCATCTTTATCTCCTCTATCTCTTTATCAGGCTCCATCTCTATCTTCTCCACCCTCTTTTTTCATATCCATCCCCATCTCGTTTCTTTTCTTTCTCTCTCTCTCTCCCTGGATCCACTTCTCTCTCCTCCACACTTCCCTCTCCATTAACCTTCACTACAGGTCACCAATCTCATTATTTCCTGGTTTATCTTTCCTATGTTTTATGTTTGCATAAGTAAGTAAACACTTGTGTAGTTTATTATTTTCCCCTTCTTTTTTACACTAAAGGTAACATATTCTTAATCTTTTTATGTACTTTGTTCGTTTTCATAGCTATTTCCATTGTGTGGACATATCATAATTTATTCAAACACAGTCTTGTATATGGACATGTAGGTTGCTTATGGCAAATTACAAACAATTCTGCAATAAATACTAGTTTTGCTAGACATTGCAAATTGCTCTCAACATCCTTGCCAGTTTACACTCCCACAGCAATAGAGGAGAGTGCTTTATTTATTGATGCCATATTACTGTTTAGCAAGAAGGGACATATTCATGATGCTGGGTTTTCTTATCCAAGAAAAAGGAACACACAAATCACTTGTATGTCTCTCAGGAAAGTTTTCTTCTACTCATTTGGTACATTTTCTGTTAACTTTAGTCCTTGATCACTGTATCTTCTTTCTTGGTACCAAAAGTGGAGTTATCATTGTACCCTCTATTAGGTTGTTGCTTATGGGTGAAGGCATGTTTTTATTGAATATGTTGGATAGCAGTGGAGTCCGTGGCCTCATGATCTGAGGGGGAATGTCCCTAAGCCTGCCATTAGGTGACCTTCTGGCTTCAGGACCAAGGTGACACAGACATTGATAGCAGTGAAGTAAATATATATAGAGATGTAGTATATACCTCGTGTGTATTTATGGACTCACTTTAAGGAAGTACCTATCAGTTCTTATCTTCCTGAGTGTCTCTTAGAAATGTGTGTTGACACCTGTCAAATTTCTTTTTCAGCATTTATGGAAATAAGCAAATTATTTTTCTCCTTAGATATCTTAATTTAGTGGATAATGTTAATGAAATCCTAATATTTAAATTGAAACAAATTCCACTTGGTCAAGTTATATCATTTTTTGTGTGGTATTATTTACTAATATCTTATTTATTAATATTTTCACTAGAAGGTTTTCATCAACCTTTGTAGGTAAGTTAGTCTTTATCAGATTTAGGAATCAAATTTTCAGATGGAAGGGCCTTTTAAAAATGTTGCTATTTCAGTTTTATTCTGATCTGATCAGAGTGTGTTTATAATATTTCTACTATAAGGAACTTACTGTCATTTTCTCTGTGGTATACTCAATGATTGGGTTTGTGAATGTCCCATGTGAACTTGAGAAGAAGCTGCATTTCTTTTTTTTTTCTTTTTTTTT